GTTACGAGGTATCCGCAAAAGACACTTGTTTATATAGTAAGAAAATGGACACGCATATAAATATACTGGCTCTGATACGATGATTCTGGCATACATATTGCAATAATGTGATCATGTTAAAGGGACATGATATGGTTAAATACTGATTATAGATATTAAAGGGGCACACACTGGATAAATATGTACTGGATAAAGCATAAGAATGAGATTTTATAAGAAATAATACACCGAAGGCCGAAGGCCTGAGGTTATTATTTCTTATCAAATCGAATTCGAATGCTTTATCTTACTTAAATCACACACATTCTTATTACAGGTAAATGGTATGTTGCAGGTAAATGGTCAATGATCTAATCTGGAAAATTTTATTTCTTTTGTGTTGACTGTTCATGTAGGGGTAAGTGGTTTGATACATGTAAGTGAGTGAGTTCTTTTGAGTTGACTGTTCATGTAGTTATATAGCCAATTGATTGTAACAACAAAAAGAGTTGGTTGCATTGACCTCATGAGTGTGAGTTGATGTAAGTGACTGAGTGGGCTATAATTAGTCTAGCTTCAGTGCACTACAGGTGACTGTCCAGTCCAGAACATTGCATTTGAATACAGCAGAATATTTGTAAGTAAGATAAGATCAATGATGTAGATAGCAACAAAAATTGATAAATTGTTTTATTCTAAAGAATGCACAGTAACAAGAGAAGGGTACATGTATTTTTGTATATTGTTTTTAGGGAATGAAAACTATCAAAAACTGTCAATGGTCATTTATGTCTCACTTGTTTTTGATAGCTTGCCAAGTGTACATTCTTTAAAAACAATAGAAAAATAATGCACTTTCCTTTTGATAAAACCATACATTCTTAAAAATAAACCACAGCAAATTCTATTGTGTTGCTACCCAAGTGGGATTTAAGATAGTATAAATAGCAAAATACAGGATGGGTCTCTACAACCACCCCCTTCTTAAAAAGTTAATGGTTGTCCTCAACCACAGAAATAAAATCATCATTGTAATGACAGCAGCAGTTAATAGTGCCATATTCACAGGGAGTAAAACATGAATAATAATATCTTCACTCACAAAAACGTTTTGTATTCAGTATTAATAAGGCAAGTGCAAATATTTCGAAAATCGATTAATGCCCCTTTTTCTAGTGTCTCATCAGTCATCTGTATACAAGGTTGATAACATAATTACAAAGATTTTAAAAAGTCGCCTATCTCCGGGCCCCCCAGCAGATCAGCAATTTCTTCAGCTCCCATCCCAAAAAGGGGATCCTCACTGTCTGCTCTAAGTCCCCGAGCTTGGGGCGTGTCCTTGTTGTCATTTGGCTCCTCCCGGGGATGCACGGCGGCTTGGAGCTGGGTGCCGAGATCAACGCGGGATTGACCCCCAGCTCTGGCCCCATGCCATCCCCCCTCGAGGTCACTGACATCTACTGTATACGTTCTGGTCTCAGGCCAACCCTTGGGGGGATTCCCTGGCAACTGGCACACCTACAACAAGATAAAACTCTTACCCTACTAGAAAGGTTTTTAGTATTTTTATACGAACCTCCCCTAGGGCCTCAAGGTACTAGTTTTCTTAATATTTAATTAGAACATATATACTTGACAATATTGAACTAGAATGAACATCTTCTCATTCTTTTTTCAATCTATTCAAGTCTTTACAGTAAAAGTTAATCTTCTCTGATCAAAAGGGCTAAAATAAAATTTCGTGAAATAATCTTCAATTGACACCACATACTTGTTCCAGTGGAGACGATAACCCCATTTAACGTGAAGTACGGCAATCGCCATGTTGCACGACAATTGACGTGAAATTATGAAGCATAAGTGCGCATGTCAATAGATAATAACGGCAATTGCCGTCATGTTCGTCAAGTGACGTGCAATATTTTGCACGACAATTGACGTGCAAACTATTATCTTGTAAAAGTTTCACATATTATCGGCAGGACAACAGGCAGTAATAAACTGGGAAACTAGTGGGAAAATCATGATCTGCATCGTATGTAATAGTTAAAATCATAAACATTTGCTATTTTCCGGGTTGCGTTTTGAACTAACAACTATTATGATGTGCTTACGTCAATGTTTACAAGAAATATTTATTCAACAGCAAACCGGAAGTAAACAAATGACGTGAAGAAAACGAATAAATTCTGATTTAATGAGGATATGAATTTAAATTGTTTATAATTCATTTAAGGTAATCATTAGATCATTGTAAAGAAGGTTTAAAAACTAAATCAAGCCAGGAAAAAAACGAAAAAATCAACAACACGCTGCGGTCAGGAAAACACTTCCGGTCAAAACGAAGAGGGAAAGTAGACCCCATTTTAGTGATTTCCAGCGGTCTTTTCTCGGAATTGGGGCTCACGTTGTGTTCAGAAATTAAAAAACTATTGGGTCAGTACCAATTTCGTCGTATAACCTGTCGGAAAGACGATATCTAGACAATTGAAGGAGTGTTGGTAATTCCAATATGGCGTTTTTCTGGGATTCGTGAGAGGTAACTTTGATTAGTTCTAGCGCAAAATTCCCACATAGGATCGCGAATTCCTACATACAAGTGCTAGATTAGATAAAATACTTGAAGAAAATGCAATAAAAAGCGTTCCATCGATCGATTTAGACTTTCCAAGAATGCAAGTTCGGTGGTGACTTCATTGGTTCGTAACATTTACAGAAAATTCACAAGATTGAACGGCATTTTTCTCCACAATTTTGGAATGAAATTCTTCCCTGGGATTTAATATATCATTAATGTTTACCAAAGTATACGTACTATAAAATACATATTACTTAGATTGTATATATATTAACACTGGGTCTTCTAATCAACCTGGTGTTTCAAATTATGAATTACAATGGACATTATGCTTATTGGCGTGATTTACGTCAATTGACGTGCAAAATGGCAATCTCCGTGTTACACGTTAAATGGGGTTATCGTCTCCACTGCCAATAGACTTTCTGGCAAAACTCCCAAGATATCAATGGCTATTCTCTCAAGAGGGGCACCCACGTTATATTGTTTCATTGGTGTCCTATGTTTCTTATTGGGTGGATTTCTCCTCTGACACAACAGGCACCCTGCTACCAATCTAGCAATGTCAGACTTGAAACCAACCCAATAATATTTGGCCCTCAAACGATCAAGAGATTTATTGACCCCAAAATGCCCACTGTCAAGAGCCCCATGAGTCATTTCTAAAATGGTTTGGCGCATATTTTCAGGCACCACAATTTGCCAGCTAACGATCCCAGCGTCAGTATCAACCCATTTTCGATAAATAACTTCCTGTTCCAATTTGAACCTGTCCCACTGAGACCAGTAATGTTTAAAGGGAGGTGATTTGTCCGATACGTCTGCCCAGTCAGGTCGGTTACCCACTTTAAGCCAATTGTTTATGGTCAAAAGACATGGATCTCGAGCCAATGCCTCTTCATACTCTTTGAGAGATATTCCCGGTGCCCAAGTGCACCCTGAGACAGGAACATTCCTCAATTTGGGAGTATGAACAAGCTCTGGCTCTAAGTTCGAGTCGAAGCCTACGTCAAAACTTCTAAGAAGCAAGTCAGCCTCTGGATCAGTCAAGGTTTCTTCCCCCCAGGAACTCTACCCAGTTTCTCTTGTCTTTTGCAATATGCACAGTCAGTACAGGGACGTCTAGACATTCCGTCGTCATTCCGTCGTCATTCAGATGTTTTGCACCAGGTCGATGTTCAATATTAAAGTCATATTGTCCCAATAACTCTAGCCACTGGGGAATCTGTCCTTCGGGATGTTTAAACCTCAACAACCAAGCCAAAAAGCCATGATCTGTCCTGACTTTGAAACGACTGCCGTAAAGATAATGGTGAAACACTTTAACAGCCCTCACTATAGCCAACAATTCCACTGTAGTGACACAATAGTTACGCTCAGGTTTGGACAATGATTTGCTATAATGACTGACAACTTTCATTTCCCCATCAACTTCCTGCTGTAACACAGCACCAACCTGACAGGCAGAAGCATCAGTATCCAAAATAAACTCTTTGGACTTATCTTGGTAAGCCAACAATGCACTTCATCTTCAGACACAACATGACCCAAATAGGATACTTCTTTTTGAAACAATTTACACTTTTTCGGAGACAATTTTAATCCAGAACTTCTCAATTTTTCAAAGATTCGACCTAATTTTTCCAAATGACTTTCTGCATCCTGGTTAAATACAATTATATCATCGAGATACATTAAGCACATCTCTGGAGACAAACCAGCAAACACGCATTCCATAAGCCTCTGAATAGTGGCTAGGGCATTAGCCAAACCGATCGCCATTACATTAAATTCATACAAACCACGTTTAGTACAGAAGGCGGTCTTCTCGGCGTCAGTGTCCTCCATAGTTATTTGCCAAAACCCACTTGCCAAGTCCAGCACGGTGAAGTATTTAGAGCCGCACAAAGAGTCCAAAGTATCGTCAATTCTTGGCAACGGATAAGCGTCTTTGATGGTGACGTCATTAAGTTGTCTGAAATCTATACAGTACCTATAGCTACCATCCTTCTTTGGCACCATCACAACAATTCAATTTTTGAAAGCTTCCCTCGATAAGCGCCTAACATCCTGGGCTAATTCCTCAAGCTATTCTTTGGATCCACGTAGTTTATTTTTCAACTTCGCCCTTGAAGTCTCAATTTGCTCCGGAGGCTCAAAACGGTACTTCAGGGCGTCTACAAGCAATTGATAATCAAAATGGTCTTCCAAACTTAAATCAGCTAATATGGCCAAAGCAGTGCTGTCTAAATGACCCACAAGTTGTAAAGCTTTTGCCTGGTTATCCCATCCATTCTCATACGCAATGGTTTCGAACTGAGCCAAGTAATTAGTTAGACTAGTCTTCCCATCATATTTTCCACATTTCGGTAATTTGTTACCAAACACACTAGCTGGGAGAGATATTCTGTCCCACTCCAGTGGCATTACTAATGGGGTTGGGTGTTGTAACAGTTTGTCCATGTCTAATATTACAAAATTACAAACCGTCAATATCAGTCGATATACTGCAACAGTTCATCTATGTTTACGTCCTCCAACAGCACATTGGGGCCTTCTAGCAGCGCATCCTCTTCGGCCGCAGAGAATATACCCAGGGGTCCAGCCAACAGGGGATCTTGCTCCCTGGCCAATAGTCCCATGATTCTAGCCTCTGGCAAAGCGGCCTCAGGTCGGGGCGCCGAGCTGGGACCAGATACATCCCGTTCCCCCGGGCAAACGTTAGTACGGCCCAGTTCCGCAGTAGGGTCCTGCCTCCCCCTCTTCTTTGGTGGCTTCCCTTCTGATGCCTCATGCTCCCGCTTTCAGGGCGGCTCTTCCTCACTACCGGCGACCTGGACAGTGTGGCCTCTCCGGTGGAGAGTCAACACCTCAACGCTGGCGGGGGCAAACTTCTCCCTGCATGTGCCTAGGCCGCAAGCTACGGTCTTGTCGTGGACACACTTACGGTGAACGACCCATTCCTCCTTGGCCACGGAGGCACTTGTAGGGCCGACTAGGGGCCCATCCCTGGGGTGGAGTGGTGTTCATTCGGCACACCTAAAATAAAATAAAACTCTTACCCTCTTTACCCCACTAGAAAGGTTTTAAGTATTTTTATACGAACCTCCCCTAGGGTCTTAAGGTACTAGTTTTTCTTGATATTTAATTAATACATATATACTTGACAATATTGAACTAGAATGAACATCTCCTCATCCTTTTTTCAATGTATTCAAGTCTTTACAGTAAGTTAATCCTCTTTATTTGAATGGTCGAAAAGAAAGTTATAAAAATGGGTATAAGCTATAAGCACAAGCTAAGACACATTGAATTAACTTTGAAAACAATATAAAAAAATGCACATAATAGGGATATTAAGACACTTGACTCGACTTATGAAATCTGAAGCGAGACTACTTTATAACATAATCAGTCAGCCACTCAGGTTTCTTTCGGGTCCTTTGCCTTCTAGAATTTTCAGTTTCATTTTCTTTGATTTCAGGAGCATTCTCAAAATCTGAGGGTTGGGAATTCTCAACAGGGGTTTCAGTCTCTGGATCTAGACTCTCATTAGTATTTCCCAGTCCCTCTGATCGGATGCAACAATTTTAGACAACATAGCCTCCACAGTCCTGTTTGATCTCTCTACCATACCATCAGACTGTGGATGATATGGAGTCGTTCTTGTCTTACTCATGCGGAACATTTCACATAATTCTTTAAATAGTTTTGATTCAAACTGGGCACCTTGGTCGGAATGAATTTGAAGAGGTGACCAATAAATACAAATGAAATGATGCAGCAAAGCTTCTGCCACTGTGGCAGCTTCTTGATTAGGGACGGGAACCAATGCCAGGGCCTTTGTGAAATAATCTTCAATTGGTACCACATACTTGTTCCCCAACAGACTTTCTGGTAAAACTCCCAAAATATCAATGGCTATTCTCTCAAGAGGGGCACCCACATTGTATTGTTTCATTGGTGTTCGATGTTTCTTATTGGGTGGATTTCTCCTCAGACACAAAAGGCAACCCGCTACCCATCTAGCAAGGTCAGACTTGAAACCAACCCAATAGTATCTGGCCCTCAAACGATCAAGAGATTTATTGACCCCAAAATGCCCACTGTCAAGATGAGCATATTTTCAGGCACCACAATTTGCCAGCTAATGATCCCAGTATTAGTATCTACCCATTTTCGATAAATAACCCCCTGTTCCAATTTGAACCTGTCCCACTGAGACCAGTAATGTTAAAAGGTAGGTGATTTGTTCGATACGTCTGCCCAGCCAAGTCGGTTCCCCACTTTAAGCCAATTGTTGATTGTTAAAAGACATGGATCCTGAGCCAAGGCCTCTTCTTACTCTTTGAGAGATATTCCCGGTGCCCAAATGCACCCTGAAACAGGAACATTCCTCAATTTGGGAATATGGACAAGCTCTAAGTTCGAGTCAAAGGTCACGTCAAAACTTCTAAGAAGCAAGTCAGCCTCAGAATCAAAGTCTCTCCCTTCCCAGGAACTCTACCCAGTTTCTCTTGTCTTTGGCAATATGCACAGTCAGTACAGGGACGTCTAGACATTCCGTCGGCATTCAGATGTTTTGTACCAGATCAATGTTCAATTTTGAAGTCATATTGTCCCAATAACTCTAACCACCGTCAATCTGTCCCTCAGGATGTTTAAACCTCAACAACCAAGCCAAAGAGCCATGATCTGTTCTGACTCTGAAACGACTGCCGTAGAGATGAATGTAAACACTTTAACAGCCCTCACTATAGCCAACAATTCCAATCTAGTGACACAATAGTTACGCTCAGGTTTGGACAATGATTTGCTATAATGACTGACAACTTTCATTTCCCCATCAACTTCCTGTTGTAACACAGCACCAACCTGACAAGCAGAAGCATCAGTATCCAAGATAAACTCTGGACTTATCTGGGTAAGCCAACAATGCAGAACTCAAATAAAGTCTCTTCAATTCTTCAAAGGCAAATTGACAATCTCCTGACCAGACAAACAGAACACCTTTTTCAGTAAGTTTGAACAAAGGTCTGGCCAGTCCTGAAAAACCTGGAATAAACTTCCGGTAGTACGAACAGTAACCCAAAAAAGACTGGATTTGTTTCACAGTACGAGGAACAGGCCAATTCACAATCGCCTGAGTTTTCTTTGGATCAATTTTTACTCCATCTTCAGACACAACATGACCCAAATAGGATACTTCTTTTTGAAACAACTTACACTTTTTCAGAGACAATTTCAACCCAGAACTTCTCAATTTTTCAAAGACTTGACCTAATTTTTCCAAATGACTCTCAACATCCTGGCTAAATACAATTATGTCATCGAGATAGACCAAACACATCTCTGGAGACAAACCAGCAAACACGCATTCCATAAGCCTCTGAAAAGTGGCTGGGGCATTAGCCAGACCAAGGCCAGGCCATTACATTAAATTCATACAAACCACGTTTAGTGCAGAAAGCGGTCTTCTCGGCATCAGCATCGTCCATAGTTATCTGCCAAAACCCACTAGCCAAGTCAAGTACGGTGAAGTATTTAGAAACACACAAAGAGTCAATTCTTGGCAGAGGAAATGCGTCCTTGATGGTGACGTCATTAAATATTTAAGCACTAGTGCCAAAAGGGAAAGGACCAAAAGTTGTAATGGAACTTAACAAGTAAAAGCAAACTTTAAGTGCATACCAGTTAAGAAAAACAAACCCCATATAGCCCAAAACCATGATCTAACGTGAAAAGAAACAATGTCTAATACCCCCTTTCCCCCCACCATTCAAGAATCAATATCACAATCCAAGACCAGAAGACCAAGGGACATTTCATTCATAAAATCCAGTCTCCAAGTCCATAGGCATTTCAAAGGGTCAAAATCCATTCACAAAAGCCATCGCCATAATCCATTAAACACAATAATTCACAATGGTCATCAGGAGAAAACTATGGCTGGTTTGCAGTTGTCTGAAATCTATACAGTACCTACCATCCTTCTTTGGCACCATCACAACAGGTGAGGCCCAAGGACTTTTGGATGGCTTAACTATGTCATGTTCAATCATTTTGTCCAAAGCTTTGTCATATTCAGTCTGTTTAGACAAAGGCACACGTCTAACAGGTTGTTTGATGGGTCAGGCATTTCCTGTATCAATTTTATGCTTAATAACTTCTGTCTTTCCCAGGTCAAATTTAGATTTTGCAAAAACATCTTGATTTTGTAACAGAAAATTCTTAACTCTAATATAGTCGCGATCAGATAAATTCTCTGTCGAATTATCAATCAGATGTCGTAAATAGTCGGGTATATTTTCGTCCGTCTTTTCCGGAGATTTGTATTCAATGTCACCAACTGCAATGTTATTTCCAGAAACCGCAAATTGTAACCTTTCTACATCATCGTCATGAGAGCGTAGGACGGGTTCTGGACAATCAATCATCCGCAAACCCTGGGGCTGAAGGAGGGGCATGTTAGGCACGTCAACAAAGGACCTCTTGGCTTCACTTCTCAGCCCCTCGCCAGCTACAGTGGTGCAATAGGTCAGTCCCGCGTGTTTTCCCGGATCCGTAGATTGGAAATCTCCACAACATAAGGGATCCGAAGCCTCCGTTAGACCGTCGTCGTAATGTTGAAATTGAGACTCCCCTGGCACCCTTGGCACATTGGCAAAACCTAGGCAAAACGCCGGGACGTATTCTAGCACATTGGCCCTTCACCTCCCTGGAATTAAATCCCATTGAATTACCACTCTCCGGACAAGCACCACCCTCAATGTCAACATTTTCCTCACTAGAATCAACAAGGTCCCCTTAGTCGAATATTGGTTCCCCAGTTGCTACTGCAGTATTCTTGTAAAGGAACAAGGGTTTTAAACTAAGATTAGCCAATCTAATTGGAATAAAAGGTTGACTAGGGTCAACAAGGGATTTGGCAACAGTCAGGGGTGGAAATCTTTCTGCCAAATTCCCACTCATTTCAATTAACAAATGTGTATCACCCAAATGTCAACATTTTACTTTTCCGGGAACAATCATCTCTGTCATGGGAGGCACTCTGACTGTATCTTGCATTAAAATTCGGCACTTGGTAGACAAATCAGTCTCTAATATACAATCAAAATCTTTGCCATGCATAGTCAACAGTGCATCCCCACCATTAACTATTTGGCTGCCGAGTCTTTTCAGCTATATGTGCTCAAAATGCCAGAAAATGAAAAAATGCATTTTTAAAGAAAATTTCAATATTTCTTCATAACATCTTAAATGTATAGGAGATCACTTCCTAGTATATGACAAAGGAAAATAAACTCGTTTTGTTGCTATGGCAACAATATTTTTTAGATACCTTTAAGGCATAAATTGGCCTAATTTTTACTAATTTTCATGAATTATGAACAAAAGAACAAAAGAACATAAGCATCTATATCATATGGTTGCAGTGATGTTCTCAGAAATCATATTGTCTAGAATAAGCAGCTATATTTCACTTTGGGGCTAAGTGATATTCTCATTTGATGGTTGCTATGGTAACACATTATATTTCTAAAAGGCATATGTAGGCTAACTAACAAGGATTTCATAATAAAACAGTGACAGTATAACAGTATTTATTTCCCAAATTAATTCATCAATAACAGCACATGTAGTAACAATGGAGTAAATAAAACATACCGTATTTCATTTGGTTTAGATTTAAACAAGACAATATAGATGGAAATAATAAATAATTAACCCCAATTTCAATCATATTGCATAAGTTAATAACAGGGGTCACATGTAAAACATGTAAAATGTAATAAGATTGCAATATCAATGAGTTGGTGGAAATTATTTAGAATATTATTGCACTTAATTTGATAGTAAAAATTAAACAATGTATCATCATGAGATTCTTTAAAATCCATTGTAACATTACAATACACAGCACAAGTGAAACACAAATAATAAGCACCAGGGCAATATTATATTATTAATACTATCATCTGTCTAAGTGGAATACCTTTGGCACCTCTTAAAAGTGTTTCATTTGGAAAGTGTTCCACTAATAGAGGTTTATTTAACATAAAGTCTGTGGTCTGAAGGACTATTAAAAGTGTTCCACTTGCAGAGGTGTTC